TCAGAAGATGCATTTACTGTAAACTGTGGCAGTTTGGGCAATCTTTTCACCTAAGCTCTCTACTATCCCTGTGACTGAAAGTGGAATGGGTTAATGGTTTATGAGCTCTCAAGTAAGGCAAATGGCTCTGTTACTGCATCCTCACTGAGCAGCTGACGGTGTGTGTGTGTCGTATACACAGGATACGTACCAAAAACCTTTAAGCTGGCTATGATAAACCGCTTGTTAAAAAAACGCAACTCGATCGTACAGAATTAGTCAATTACAGGCCAATCTCGAATCTGCCTTTTCGGTCAAAGATACTGGAAAAGGCAGTATCCTCACAACTGTGTTTCTTTCTTGAGGATTTTCAATCGGGATTTAGACCACATCATAGTACCGAGACAGCTCTCATCAGAGTCACAAATGATCTGCTCTTATCGTCCGATCGTGGCTGTATCTTTCCAAAAGTGTTACTCGGTCTTAGTGCTGCATTTGACACAATTGATCACAACATTCTTTTAAATAGACTAGAAAACTATGTTGGCATTTGTGGAACTGCATTAGCATGGTTATCAGTTCGTAGCAGTAAATGAAGAGATGTCTTATCGATCACAAGTTCAGCATGGCGTACCACAAGGCTCAGTACTAGGACCGCTGCTGTTCACTCTGTACATGCTGCCATTAGGAGATATCATTAAGAAACATGGAATTAGCTTTCACTCTTATGCTTCAAAACTTACCAACTCACAAAATTAACGGAACTAACGGAACTAAATTATGAAAACTATGAAAAATCAGAGATTCTAATTATTGGACAAAAAACTTCCACACGTAACAGCCTAGAATACTGTCTAACACTCGATGGCTGCTCTGTTAAGTCTTCGTTGTCGGTAAGGATCCTGGGTGTGCTCTTTGATACCAATCTCTCATTTGAAAGTCATGTGTGTAGTATCTGTAAAACCAACACAGTCTCATCCCAAAAAGTCATATAACTGACGTTTTGGGACGTATTTTGACCATACGTCAATATCCGCCTTTTTAGGGCCCCCTTAAACGTCGGTAGATGGCGATCCCGGGCCGTCATACAACTGACGCTTTACCTTTAACGTCAGTTAGGTGACGGGTTAGGTTTAGGGTTAGGTTTAGGTCCGGGGTAGAGTTAGGATCCCATAACCTCATCTACCGACGTTTAAGTGGGCCCTAAAAAGGCGAATATTGACGTATGGTCAAAAGACGTCCCAAAACGTCAGTTATATGACGTCTTGGGGTGAGACCGGGTTGGTAAAACCACATTTTTCCATCTTAACAATATATCTAAATTACGCCATATGCTCTCATTTACAAATGTAAAACAAATAGTTCATGCGTTCATGACATCAAGGCTAGATTATTGCAATGCTCTACTGGGTGGTTGCCCTGCACGCTTAATAAACAAACTCCAGCTAGTCCAAAACGCAGCCGCTCCAGTTCTTACCAATAGTCTGTTTTAAAGAGCAGTAATTTATTACCATTTTTAAAACATTATTATGAAATTGTAAGGAATATTACATTTGTGTGTAAGAGTATGTGAGAAGGAAGACTTTTAGGGGTTATAGAGAAAAGCAAGCTAAGCTATTAGCTCACCGGCACATGGCAGTTGTATTTTCAGAGTTGCATTACATTTAAGTTTAATATTTCAGGATTTTTTCGTGAATAAATACATTTACAAAGGTAGAGAGGGTGAAAGAAAGAGGACAGACAAAATAACTTACCTTTTGTCGGTCAGCCGAGGAAGGTGGGGAGGGAAGATTCAAAATGGAGTGATGGGTATTTGGGTCGGCACACACGGATGACATCAGAGGCTTGTGATTGGTTGATTAAATGTTGATCCAGGATCAACAAAATATGTTGATCCAGGAACACCTCTACTTGGCAAAATCACAGTCACCCCCGGTTCTGACAACCCTGCATTGGCTGCCTATTAAACATCGTATAAATTTTAAAATATTACTGATTACTTATAAAGCACTAAATGGTTTAGCTCTGCAGTACTTGAGAGAGCTCTTAACGCATTATAGTCCTTCACGTCTATTGCGATCTCAAAACTCCGGCCAGTTGATAATACCTAGAATATCAAAATCGACTGCTGGCGGTAGATCCTTTTCCTATTTAGCACCAAAACTCTAAATCTTCCTAACATTGTCCGGGAAGCAGACACACTCTGTCAGTTCAAATCTAGACTAAAAACACATCTCTTTAGCCTAGCATACACATAACACACTATAGACTTCCTTAATTCAAAATTAGGCTGCATAGATTAGATCAGCCGGAACCGGGAACACGTCCCGTAAATCCTGATGTACTTGGTAAATCAAAAGAAGGATGGCGTCTACACTAATATTAGTCTCTCTGTTTAATATTAGTCTCTCATTACTTTCATGTTATCACTGTGAAGCTGCTTTGATACAATCTGTATTGTAAAAAGCGCTTTATAAATAAATGTGACTTGACTTGACTTGTGTGAACTGATCAGGAGTCAGCTGTGACTCGCTCGTGTGAAGCTGGCGGTGTGTGTGGAGTTGATCAGCTGTGAGTCCTGGGACGTGTGTGAAGCTGCTGGTGGTCTTCGGCTGGTGAATCCCCACTCCAGTCTTTTATGATGTCCGTGAACATCACACGGGGGCTGAGTGTCCTGCTTCTGCGGAGAGAAACACACACACTTCAGAAGAGACTTCAAAAACATCACACACACACTGTGTTCAGAGGATTCCTGAGCTGCAGACTCTCACGCCTGTGTCTTCAGAAGATCTCAACCACTTCACAAATCAAACATTTCCTTGCTGCATACAACGTAATAAATATGACATTGTGTCATATTACTGCCTTTATCTGCACTTCTAGGATTATTCTCAATATTTAAGTGTAACTCGAATTCATTTGACTCCTAATATTGACGTGAACTCTGAATGTCTAGTAGTTTCACTCTCATTCCCCCTCTCACACACACTAAACACATGGTCATATCTGAAATAGTTATGATTTAACAGAAGAAATCAGTGTAATATACACTGTAGTGAATACAAACTATACCAAAAACGTATTTAAAATACTTTTATTTCATACTAAGTATACTACAAATGCATTAACATATTTACTGACATAATGCTTGAGGCGTACTGATAAAAATATTACAATTATCTTTATTTGGAGTACTTATTTATTGCAAAATGCACATTTTGCACATATTAAGACTGACTTTTGATAAGACGACGTTGTATGATCTCTGTATAATATCAGTATTTAAACACAAGATATTAAAAGTGAACCTGCAATAGTTCCACTTTAGCACAATAATATAAATGTAATGTATTAGTTGTTCAAATTTAGCAGACTGTAACACGGTATTTTTTAAGTACATTATATGTAAATGTATTTGTAATGTACTTACAATAACATAAATTAATTTATTTTTCACTAGGGCAGTTAAGACAAATGTCCTCCTGAAATGCATAATGCTATTTAAATAGCAGTTCAATATTTACAATTTGCTTGCTTTGAGCTTGCTCAGTTGGGGTTATTTAGTGTTTAGCAATGTTGTTGATCTGTGTTGTGCTACTTACATGTTATCACTGTGAAGCTGCTTTGATACAATCTGTATTGTGAAAAGCGCTATATAAATAAATGTGACTTGACTTGACTTGACAATTTTAGGGTTGAAGTTAATATAATTTTGGGAACCGCCTGAAGACAGTTATGATCACATCTTCCTCCAGTAGCTAACGCTAATATAACCTTTAATAACAGTGATCTGGTCTTTAATAATGTCCTCAAAACGTTAGCACAAAACCATTATTTAAACATCGTTTTCATCTGACGGTTTTTAATGTTGAACTTGTTTCAGAACATTCAAAAGTAATGTTTGCAGAAGACAAAATAAATAACAAAATACATTCAGAAATAACGTTTTTAAAACTGAATTTGAATGTTAGCGGTAAACAATTTCTGTACGCTCGGAAGAGATTTATAACTCAATCCTGCAGTTCCGGTGTGAGTGATTGACAGATGACATCACAACACCAATCTCCAATCAGGAGAGAGAAGAACGTGAGGAAAGTAGGAGCTTAAATGTAGGTATTATTACTTAGTAGTATTATTACTACAATAAGTGTTTAACTTTATTGCTGTTACAAGAAACAAAAGTGTAGAAAATGCCTGAAGAAGTTCTTTAATCAAAATAACTCAAATTTAATATTAATTCACAGTAGCACACGTCATTTCAAAGCAGCTTTGCGGAAAACGCCTGAGTCTAAAGTCCATAAGGCATGAATACATGTTGTTAACGAATGCTTAGGAAATATACACAGTTAATTATTTAGAACTGTGTGGCATTGATAACTTTATAATTGTCATAACAATAATGTCACAATGCAAAAAGTCTCAAAAATCATTGTTTTTTCTGATTTGGGGGATTTAAAATACATTTAATGATATAATAATTCATATTATTTTTGACAAAGTTTTTATTGGGCTGTGATTAGACTTTTACCATGGAGTGACTTTACTGACCTTACAGAAAGCAGGAGATCATTCAGCAATCCTCCTGTATAATATTAATGAACTACATGTCCTGACTATAGGGTTCGGGTTTGGTTGAGGGTTAGTTACATGTAATCTTTACTATGGTAAGTGCATGTAACATATGTAAAATATGTTACTGATCATTCCACCTCGAACCGACAACCAATCCGGCGCTCAGTACAAATGTAGTAATTGATTAAAATGTCTAGGCCGACTTGCCTGAGCAACAGACAGTGTGAAGATGACCAGAATCCATGCATTTGTGTGCATGCTCTGAAACTGGAGTCTGCGTGGCCCTGTACAGACGCACGGCAGGGTCTATTGTGAGAGAACAATGTGTCTCAAATAGAAGCATTAGCGCTTGTCCTTTTACGGCCTTCCTCTGTGTGTTTGGCACCATCCCGGGACAGACGGGGGCCGGCCTCACCTGCTGCCGGAGGATAAAGCCCGGGCCCGTGGACAGTGCTGTACCCAGAGTGTGTCCCAGCCTGTCTCTGTGTGTCTCGTGAACATCAGCATGGCCCCCAAGAAGAAGGAAGAGCCCAAGCCAGCCGCGGCCCCCAAGCCCCCGGAGCCCGAGCCGCCCAAGATCCCGGAGTTTAACCCCGCGGAAGTCCAGGTACCAGCCACACACACACACACACACCTCCTGCTGATCGCTCAGATCCCAAACACATTCGCATTTTCATTCCTATCAACCATGTGTCTACACTAGACAAAACACAGGGTTGTTTTAACCCAAACCTGGGTCAAGATGTGGACAAACCCAACCGTTTATTTACAAATGAAACCCAATGACTGGGTTTGTCCATATTTGACCACATTTGGATTGAAACACCTGCGCATGTTTTAGAGTGTAGTTTGGTTTGCATGACGGCGCTTAAAGCCCTTTGAGTTTTCCGCGTATAGACGACACCAGCGTCAAAGCGATCCTCGTCACTCGGATCCGCCAAACGGCTAAAAACGCTTCAAGACCATTCTCAAAAACTTGCACTTTGAAACACGTTTTATAAAAGTGCTCTTTCAAAGCTTTGTGTTTTCAGGCGGCCAAAACGCATACAAAGTTGTACGTTTTAATTTGAAAACGGTGTCATAAACGGCTCATTCTTCTGTTTCCTCATTAACGACGGTGAGAAACAAGATTGCTATCATTCCTGCTGATCTACTGTGAGACGTTTAGCGTTTTCTCTTCATAGATCTGAGTTTCAGGGACTTTCACACCACACCGTTTTCAACTTTTCAGGCCGTTCGTTTACACGACAACAGCGTTTTGAAAACGCGTGTCAAAGTGGATTACATGTTCAGTCTACAGTGTTTCGTCGCCAGTTTTGTCGTTTGAACTACGCTATCTCACGACCAATTCGTACGAGTGATTCAAAAGTGGCTAATTCTACTAATTCTCGTACGATTTGTCTAAACCCACGTGACGGTTATGTTTAGGGGCGGGGTCAGGGGTAGGTCATTCGTACGAATTCATACGAATTGGCTAATTCGTAAAATATGTATGATTTAGCAAAATCGTACTAATTGGTACGAATGAGATCGTACGAATTGTTACGAATTAGCCACCTCGTAAAATTCGTACGAATTCCCGTTTGAACGCAACCGCACTGATTCGAGATCAGGACAAAAGTTTCCCCTACTAAACAAATCTCACAAAGCGACACGCAGGTTTCTTCACGGTCCAGGCACTCTTTGAAGTACCTCGGGGGTGGTGCGTCCACAAGTAAAGCTGCCGTTGAGTAATGGACGAACTGACATTCGCACTGGCATTTCAGTGTTTGTCTTGTAATATCAGAGAGCCTCTTTCCCACACACAAATGTTCTCGCATTAGTTACACATATTTAAGCAATGTGCTCAAACATTTCATCTGTGAAACCCAATGGCATATCGCTTTCTGTGCAGGTCAAGAGATAGTTTAGTGTAAGTTGGTAGGCTGAAACGTTGCGGTTGAGAAGCCATGATTGACAGTGAGGTTTGGGCCACACAATGTGATTTGGATTACGCTGGACCACCCAAACCCCACAGCAGCTTCACATCACACACAGCTTCAGTTAAGGGCTTAAAGCAAGCACGTAGATCGCATATAACGCGTTTCCAATGAGAATAATCATTTACAGGATAATTCCCTGATCCAGTGCAGTGTTTTCGAGATTAGTGGGCTTTACCGTTATCCAGTGAAGTCTTAATTGCGGTGTTAGGGCGATATATCCAAGCTGTGCCCTCATCGTTTGGCACATCTCCATTCGCGAGGCCGTAAAGAGCATTTTGCGAGTGTCATGTGTCGGCGGTCTTCAACCCTGACGTCTGAGCGCTGCACAACAGTGGTGTCGGGTGACGGGACACACACTCCTCCTGGCCCGAGGCTCGCACACGCTTCAGTTTCCAGAGACGTCCCGAAGGACAAACACCAGCGGCACTAATAATCACCTCAGTGTCATTGAGTCAAACTCAGGCGCTTGTATGATTGTTCTTTGATTTTTTGTTTTTCTCTCTCGACAGCTTGAGTTCACTGCCGAGCAGATTGAGGGTAAGTCCCGTTTGTGTTTGCATTATGTTTGCGCAAGTTAAAATATTACATTTACATTGAATGTATTTTATGTAACACATCATATTTTATTTAACGTAAGCAATGCATGTTGCTGATTCAGAATATCTGCACAAGTAAAAAAAGAAAAGAAGAAATTTCATTCAAAATGTATATTTTCTCACCTCTTACAATTCTCGGGTGCACTAATAAGCATTAACTAATGCACAGATAATACTGAATTAATGTGTAACTAATGTTTATTTAAGCTATTAATTAATGATTACCACATTAGGAACTAATTAAGAGTATGTAGGGTTAATGCATTAGTTCATACATGAATTGTTATTAATTAAATATGCAATTGTGGATTAATTCCATAATAATTCATTTTTTTAACTAATAGTGTTAATTAATATATTAATTACTGAATGAAAACAAAGCCTTGTATTTCAACTTCCAGATAATATGACAGGTACACTAATATGCATTAATACATGATTAATTACTTCAATGTTAGTGCAAATTCATGTGCAAATTACTAAATGACTAGTTAATAATGATGTGCACCATCAAGTAAAGTCATAACATAATGATACCTTTGCGAATCATTAGATAATGCTTAATTAAAGCAGACAACTGGAAGTTGAAGTGCATAGCTTTGAGTAATTGTGGTAATTAACACATTAATTTACATTGTTTGCTAATAAAATATGTTATTAAGGAATTAATACACACATTGAATTAATAGCAATTCATGTATTACTTAATCTATTAATCATATAGACTCTTAATTATTTGCTAATGCAGTAATCATGAATTAATGGTTTAGTTCTTCATGAGTTATCCATTAACTCATGATTATCTGTGCATTAGTTAAGTATGAATTAATGTATATTAGTGCACCCGTATTGTAAAGTGTTACCCAATTCTCTTTCATTTAAAGGATGTTTAAATATTTTAAAAGACAAAATATGTTTGCAATCACTGCAATCAGTCTGACAGCTCTATGGAGCTCTACACAGAGTTTAAGCAAATGTACTGAACATTTATGCGAAATATATATTTCACAAAATAATTTGCTTGTGTTCCAAAATTTGACGTTAATATCCTAAAAATTGAGCCACTAGAATTTTGTAAAGTACCGTTTTCTTGATAAAGCACTGACCAATTTCAAGTTTTTACAGGATGAATCTTATCTTGAGTGTTTAAGCATGTGAAATGAGACGGTTCAGAACATGTGATGGGGAAAGGCATAAAAAACAGGCCAGCTGGAACCTAAAGGATCTGATCCTGTGCCTGCAGATTTCAAGGATGCGTTCCAGCTGTTTGACAGGACGCCAACCAACGAGATGAAGATCACCTTCGCCCAGTGCGGAGACCTGATCCGGGCCTTGGGCCAGAACCCCACCAACGCCGAGGTCATGTACGTCTTAGGCAAGCCCAAAGCTGAAGGTGAGACCCTGCCCCCTGGAGAACACACACACACACTTTACACACACTATACACCTGCCGACACATGTGTGTTCTGTTGTCAGACATGCAGGTGAAGATGCTGGACTTCGACCAGTTCCTGCCCATGCACCAGCACATCTGCAAGGCCAAAGACCGCGGCACCTTCGAGGACTTCGTGGAGGGCCTGCGAGTGTTCGACAAAGAGGGAAACGGGACAGTGATGGGCGCTGAACTCAGACACGTCCTCGCGACTCTGGGTGAGCGTCATCATCACCACTGCATGAGCGAACGAGTCGAGCGGGAACGCTCCGGAAACGCCACGCCATTTCAACAACTTCTGCAATAGAATGTGGGCTACCTCATTCATAGAAAGTTTTATGACGGTTTTTTAAATGTAACAACTTGTTTTCAGAATGTTCAGAGAACATTCTAAAGTAACGTTCCAATAACGTTTGAAGAACAATAAAATGGAGCTTTCACTTACCGATCGCGTGACGAAGAAAAACCTTTACACTCTAAAAAATGCTGGGTTGTTTGAACACAAATTTGGGTCAAATATGGACAAACTCAGCCATTGGGTTAAATGTTTGAATTACATTTCAACCCAACATTTGGGTTGGTCCATATTTGACCCAAATTTGGGTTAAAACAACCCAGCATTTTTGAACGTTCGGAGATCATTTAGAAATTATGTGGGGTTTTTTTTACAGTAACTTAATGTTAGCAAAATGTTCTTTCAATATAGTTTTGTGAGATCTTTGAGTGTTTGAGGTTTCATCTCACTTTAACTCAGCGAAATATTTTCTGGTCATTAAAACAATTAATTTGTCAAAGCAAACTATGCAAGATATTACAAGTTTAATTATTCAAAATTGATTTTCAATGTAAACAATAGTGTAATAATTTAAATAAAACAAAGATTATTGGAGATTTTTTTTTAAAATATTACAAAATATATTTTTTTAATATTAGAAAATAATATTTCTACTTCAAAGATTCACATTTAAATTAAATGTGTGTGTCCAGGTGAGAAGATGAAGGAGGATGAGGTGGAGCAGCTGATGACTGGACAGGAGGATGCCAACGGCTGTATAAACTACGAAGGTCAGTTTCTACACACTTTCACAACTCTCATGCTACTTCACAGATCTACATCTGAGATCATCAGATCGATCACATCACAGTTCAGGTCTATGAATGTAGCAAAAGTGCTATGAATGAGCTTGTTCTCCTGGCCTCTAGATGGCAGTGTTGATCCTTCTACTATAGTATGTCCTACACTGTAAAAAAATATTGTTGGTTTAACTTAAAAAAGTAAGTAACCTGGGTTGCCTTAAAATTTTAAGTTGATTGAACTGGAAAAAGTGAGTTAATACAATGACGGAGATTGATTTAATAATCAGAAACGCAAAATAATAAGTTATCTCAACTAAATAAATTATTCGAAAATTGATTTGACAAAAGAAAATATGTTGTGATAACAAATCTTGAAAATATTTTTTACAGTGCTCGAGGATGACTTTGGATGTGTGTAAATTATTCTCCCATTAAATGCAAACCGTGCTCACATGACTAAAGCAGAGAATAGCAAGTAGTGTAGCCTAAACATGCATTAGCACAGGACACTGATTCAGATCTTGTCTTTGCCCACAGCTTTTGTAAAGCACATCATGGCTGGCTGAACAGGTATGAGAAGAAATCTTCATCTCCAATGCATTTCTGTTCAGTTCCCGTGTGCACGTGCACTCAGTATTAATGCAGATTTCCCCGCTGTTTTTCAGATGATCAAGACACCTCATTGAGGATCCAGATGTTATTTGGTCGTTGTTCTTTTGTAAATGAACGCTGGTGTTTTCCTCCGTCTCTCAAACTGTCTTTTTGTAACGCTCCTTTGTCTGCTGCTGTGCCAGAACACATCACACCTGCTCTTTTGTGAATAAAACCCGTTTAATAAATGTCATGCTTGGTTTAAACAGCCTCCTCTCTCTTTGTCTGAATATTTGGCTCAATTCTCGAATGAGACTTTTTCTCTCAAAACAATTCGTTTCTTGTTCACATCAGATTTGAATGAATTAGTGCATGCGTTTTGGCGCAAGATCTGCACAATAACTAAATGCACATGGCTTGATGATCAAAACTGATGATTCTCAAAGTGTCAAACTCTTCACAACGTCTAAATATTCTTTCATCGTGTGAAACATCGCATGCAAAACGATCCATTCAGTGATCAAAATATGTCAGACATGCATGTGTATTCCATCAATATCTGACATGCGATATTTGTAAATCCTGCAATGAAATAGGATTCACAACCAGTCTGTTGAGTATCTGTATCTGTTGAGTCCAGCTGAACCCAGGTCAGTGTAAAAGCAGTGCGTGTCGACTAAAGAGTAGAAAACACATGACATTTGAATCAGTGGCGGTTCTAGACCATTTCAACTGGGGGGGCCAAGCTGGGGCCAGTTGTACTGTTAGAGGGGCCAGTTACATTTAGACCTTATCATTTTCTGCACTGCACTGAAGGCATAAACAAGCAAAACACCATGTTTATAATTATCCAACAATTATCCAAATTTCTATTATATTTTTACATTTGCATTACATATTCAGCATCAGTCACAGTAGCTGTATTTGAATTACCACTATATTTTTTTTTTTACATTTGAATATATATATATACAGTATATATATTCAGCATCAGTCACATTAACTCTAATCTACGATTTGTTTTTTGCAAAAAGATCAGCAAATTATCCTCTAAACTAGCCTTTTTAGGGGGCTTTCCTCTCAGGGTGAATGAGCTTTTTCATAATTGTTTTTTTCCAGACATCTTTGAAAGACAGAAGCAATAATTAATGCATCCTTTGCCAGGATATAATTATAAAATATGACATGATTTTAAAAGTGACCTATACAATCGACTATGCAATACACTTTAATTTATCTAATGCTAATAAAATTATGAAGCCTATTTGGAGAGAGAGATGTTTATAATGTGACAATGTCAGTCATCGTGTAATAAGGAAAATGTGACTAGGCCTAGACTGCTTGTTCCGAGCAGGTGTTGTCAGGCTGTAAAACTGTTTTCTAAGGGGCCGTTTCCACCTGGCCACTTCATGCGTTTTCTTTTCTGTGATCGGATAGCTATGCGATCCTGAAAAGACCAGGTGTAAATGCCCCCCGAAATGCATTCGAGACGGATTTGAATCCGATCGCTCAAACCACTTCAGGAGGTGGTCTGGGCCGCATTCCAGACGAAACTGGACAAGTGTAACTGCATCTGGTTCTTGAAACCACATATGTAAATGTTACTACTCCCAAAAATGCTAAAAAAATAAACGCGTGAGAGCGTGTGTAATAAGTTTATTTATACAGATCCCTGGTAAATTCGTCTGATTCACTAAAGTGCCGGCTGCAAACAAACGTGCTACCTTGTTTTATTTTAAAGTTTTAATCTATTTCTTCCTTATACTCGATAGGCTTTATGCCGTCCGTCACGTGGTCAAACCGGAAAACGGGTCTCATCGCATCCGCTTGTCAGAGAAAGCGTTAACGGCCGTATGAACTGACTACGATATCTATGGATATTTAAGGTAATCAGCTAACCTACCTAGTTCACTTTGTTATTGGCGTTTTATTCCATTTAAATATCTAAACGTTACTGTGAAGAAGAAAAATATAAAACGTTTAAATATCAATCTGCATATGTGAGGGACATTGGTTATGCTAATCTTTGCTCGCTAGTCGCTCCTTTTAAGTTATCTTGAGTAAAACCGCAAAAAATTTCATGAAGCACATACCTGGACCGGAAGCGATGAGACCTGTTCAAACAGAATGCGGAAGTAAGTTGTGTATAAAGCCTATTCAGTCGGGAATCCATGAAAACTTAAGTAGGGTTGGCGTTGTTAGTTAGATTTACAAAGTGGAACAGAGCAGTGACATAAATAGCATTTGTCTCAGCCATTGTTGAACTGCGTCGGAACGGAAGTGGACAAGCACAAAGTTGACAAATCCCGCCCACGAAACCCGGAAGCGTGATAATCCCCTATTACTGATGAATAAATGAATGAATGACCTAACACTCTGTCTATTATATACAAATATTTCATAAGAAAGACATTGATTTTGCTTATTGACCAAAACAGGTTAAACAAAAAACAATGAAAGACAGAAAGAAAAAAAAAGTAATTACCTAAAGGCATTTTTTAAATATAAGTACATGTAAGACGGTGTACTTGATTAATAACCAATTATGTTTGAAATTAAACATCACCACAGAGATCTATCATTCAGTTGAGCACTTGTACATAACACCTTTTACATGTAATAAATAATAATTGTAATGCACTTGGATGTATATCCAGTAAAAGAAAATGTGCTCATTTATTATGTATTTAGAGAATTATATAATCATACCTCAGACTTCTGTAATATGCACTACTGTTGAGTAGTAGAGAGAGAGAGAGAGAGAGAGAGAGAGAGAGAGAGAGAGACTGCACTCTCTAATTAAGACACTAGATGGCAGACATGCATCATACTGTACTCAACCTTCCAGAGAATCAGAGCTACACCTATCTAACAAAGAAATGCTTATTACAAGCAAGCAAACAAACCAAAAGCTCAAAACTCTTAGTTTTACACATTAAATAAAAGGATATCAGTGTAATCAAAATTGTTTTGTAGCATTCAGAGCCTCAAATTAGTTTCAACATTTTAGATGTATTGTCAAAATATTACAAAATGTCAAATATTGTCCTTGGTGACAAATGATGTTCCCAGCATTATGCAGTCATCATGTCATATAAAGTTTTACAAAATCAAACTCAAGTGAAACTTTATAATACAAGTCTAATAATATCAGTTGGCTCAGTCTCGACAGGAACATCAGATGTGAGATGTGTGTATGCATTTGTACAGTTCCTCGTTCCTGTGGTTCTTTATGATTTAGGTGGTCGCTCTGTGATGAAGAGAGAGCATTAGCATCTCTAATCAGAGTCAGCACAGGACTCAAAGTGTCCTCATGGTTGTGTCCAGAAGTTCATGGCCAGTTTAATAGGGCGTAAACATGCTATTAAATGAACAAAGGCCTGGATTTACAGTACTTGACAGTGCAGACAAAAAATGTAGGCTAGTAATGTCTTTGGACTTTGCATCTAAAGACTGCAGTGTATACGGCAAGAGTGGATTATTATTAGCATCACAGATTTATGCCACAGTTTTAAATTCTCTGCTTTAGTAGATATAAAATCACGCTAGAGAAAATGCAGTCTGCCTTTTAGCCCTCGTTGCCAGAGGACTCAAAGGATTACAGTGAATAAACGTTCTTTTGTGTTTGTCAGAGCAAGATGTGCATCATATGCATGAAAACACACATAAATGCTGTAAACAATAGAACTGTAGTCTATTGAGTTGCACTCACAACAAAATCTGAATATGAGAGCCTTTAGCAGCAAAGACTCCACAATTATTAATGAGTTTTCAATAGAGAGATTATCTGTCTGCTTGTTGAGGTGTAAAAAAAAAAAAAGAAATACAAATAAACAAATGAGCGTCTGTGTGATGTAACCTTGAAGATGTCAGGTTCTTTTCACGTCGAGGATGACAATAGTCAAAAATGAGTATGAGTCTGTGACTCTAAAAAATGCTGGGTTGTTTCAACCCAAATTTGGGTCAAATATGGACAAACCCAAATGTTGGGTTAAAAATGTAATTTAAAATTTTAACCCAACTTCAACTATTTTTTTTTTTTTTAATTACATTTTTAACCCAACATTTGGGTTTGTCCATATTTGACCCAAATTCGGGTTAAAACAACCCAGCATTGTTTAGAGTGTATTAACAAAATTGCACCCATATGTCACTGATGTCATTAAGCTGATTTTCTGCTGCTCTGTTGTCTGGGTCTCAGCTGAACCACTCGGATAGTTAATCCACTAGAGTTTTAATCCACGCCAGTTAGGCTTTTGCTGTATGTTTGGGTCACCAAGGATAAGTCATTCTCTCAAGTCCCAGGTAATGCAGTGTCCTTCTAGCACTAAAATAGTTTCCAACTCCAGCTGATAGACACATATGGATTGAATCAACAGAAATCAAGTGATCTCTTGAACTTTTTCTGAACCACTGCAAACAATTTAACCAAGTGTTGTCAAATACATTTCTAGTTGTACAATATGAAGTTATACCTGCTTAAATATGTAACCAGAAATGTTTCTCAAATTATTTCTCTTTCTTGCCGCCACTTTACCGAGATGCACATCTGAGCTATATTAAAGGGGTCATGACATTGATTTTATACAAGTTCAAGTTCAAGTTAGTTTATTTCTAGAGCACATGTAATACCGGCTTTTGCCCGACCAAAGTGCTGTATAATAATCACAATACAATACACATTGCACCAACAACATTCCTATCGTCATCAGATATAGTGCGTTAAAAAAAAAAAAAATTATAATAATTAAAAAGAACAAAGTAGATTACATATTAAAAGCCAATCCTAATTAAAAAAGCTAATAAAAGATTTTAATTCAAACATTCAAATGTTTACACATTTACACATTAAGATTGTGTAAATGACTGTTTATCTAACTATGTGACATTCTTCTCAGTTTCTTCTAGACAGGCCAAATAGACTGGACGACTGGACAGATATTTCCCGGACGAAAGGGAACCAAAGTTAATCCCAAAAGTCAAAGCTCAAAGTTATAATTTATTATTTTTCTTCTTATTTATATTTACGTTAATATTCACTTACTTAATAATATTCACTTGTTATCTTAATATTCTATAGAAAATACTGTGTGGCAATGGCAAATGGCATAGCTCACGGCGTCAGGTAGAGGGCCCCTTAGCAGAATTTTGGAGAGGTCAGGATTGGCTCTGGCTAATGTACAGGTAAAGCTTGTTTTCAGTTATTCCTTTGATCCAATCTCATCTCAGTTAAATTGTTGTTCTGTTTCTTGTATATTGTTTTATACTAAG